ACTTATTCCATTCACATCAAAAATGTTCTTAAATAGAAAAGGTAGCTCCCTGCTTCTTTTAAAAATACATTTAGTACTAGAAGAGAAAGCTTAAAAAGTTGTTGGTGAGAAAATGTATATCTTTTATTGTGTTGATTACTGGAGTCTGCCCTAATAAGTCCAAGAAATTTCTTGGCAAGGTTTTTCCATAAGTGGTTTGCTATTGGCTACTTCATAAGGCTGAGAGAGAGACTGGCCCAATGCCACCTAGTTGCTTTGTACGTAGGGCAGGATTAGAACTCAGAGTCTCCTGGTTTTTAGCTGATGCCTTAACTGTTCCATGAAACTGGCTCTCAGTGCTATGAATAGTTTGCTATAAAGAATATCAACAACATGTTGACAGGATGTTTTGTTCTTGCTTTAATGGGAGAGAATGACTCATTCTTTTGTGTCAGTTGGTGCCCCAATCATGGTCTTAAAGCACTTCTTGTACCTGTGCTACTGAGCAGTTTTGAAAGTACATTTTTTCTAAAATTGTAGGAACCAACATAAAATATGCCTCATTAATAAAAATCATTCCAAATGGATTGTACTTCAGCATCACTGGCATTGAAAATTCTATGCATGCAAGTTTATGTTTCTATATTTACTAGCAATTTCTACTCTGTTCCACAAAACCTGATGCTTCATAAGCAGGATCAAGTTGCCTAAATCTCTTCACATGTTCAACAGTGAATATGCTTTTATTCTATTCCGTTTCCTTGTTTGATTCAGAAGATTCACCCACACAGAGATATTTTTCTTTGTTTAAACAGTAGCCATTGTTTTCAATATGCCAAACTTTATATAACCTCACAATTCCCAGTTTTTCAAAAACAATAACACCTTTAATAATTGCACCCACATTTAGTAGGTATAGGATTTTCATTCTAGCCGCTCCATAGAGATTAATTTACTTACACTGCAAAGACTTCAAGATTCATTCCAGAAAGATTGTTTATTTTATACAAATGGACAGATAAACATTACATTAAAATAAACATTCATTAATCAATTGCTAAAGCATGCAAAGAGTGTCACATATTTTAGCTGAGTCTGTCAGTCAACACGAAGTTTGTAGATGCCAGAGTCTTGCTCCACCCATAACGCATGGAATCTTGTCACTGTTTCCATGCTTGGTCTTCGAAACACAACAAAGACTCAATATGGCTTCTCTTTTCTCTCCTACTGCACTATAAAGATGGCTGCTGCAAGCCATTTAGTTAAAAGCTTGAGAAGAAGCAACAGATTGTCAACACATTTGTGCTAGGCTTCTGAAAGTCTCTACTTGCTTTGCTCTGCAAATCTCCAAAGGCTGACATACCATGGGATATTTTCTACAACATCAAAAAGGGCAAGTAGAACTGTAAAATCCAGAACTTCATGTCCACATTGATTGGAAACTAAATGTGACTCAAAGTGAGAGCTCGCAGCATCCTGTGCTGGCCCCACCCACCCCCTTCACTAAGGCTTATTTTGGGGGTAAGGCTTATATAAGGCACATGCTTAAAAATCAGGCTAGGGCTTATTTGGGGAGTAGGGCTTATTTTAACATGCTATTTAAAATACATTTATATTTATGTCAGAGCTGTATAAACAAAGTCATAGTACTGTTTAAGAATTATGCCACTTCTATGTCACTATTGTATATACATGTATAGCACATAAAAACTTTCTGTACATGGAGTAAAGGAATTTAAGCAAAGGACATAACTTAAAAATGTTTAATGAAATCTAAGAAACACACACAAAGCTGTGTATCTTGCCATAATGCCAGAGGTAACATGTCTTCTTCCAACAAAAATCTGCCTTTTCAGTTTTCACATTTCAGATGTATTCATTTCATTATACAGTTATTTCACAAGTTGTCTTACTTAGGTCAATAAAACACACAGAACTTTTTCAGAAATGTTTCTTATCTCCCAAACAGTCTAATCTTCCTGAATAACCTTTTTCTATACAAAAAAAGGCAATGGTACTCATTGAAAATACAACTTGGAAGAAAAAGATATGGCAAATTATATGGCTTTGTTCTTATGCACATCAATTCATAATAAAATTTTATTGTATTTTTAAAAAATTATAAAACATTAACTTTAATGTTAATGTTCTATAATTTTTTAAAAATACAATAAACAATAAATTAACATTTTAATCAGTTTATGTATAAGGTAGTAAGGAAACATTAATACTAGATTTCAATCGCTGTTTACAAAGCTAACTGCAGTTTCATGTTTCATCCAAATGCACAAAACTCAGGATGACCTATTTTTAAGACTCAATACAGTCAATACTCAAAAATATTTATTTCGTTTATAGTAATGAAAACAGTATTTGCATCCCCAAAGCTGCTTCCATTCATATCACTAGTAGTTAAAACCCACCAAAACGCTTAGTTGTGGTAACCCTATGTGTGTTTCGAGATATGTCAAATTATCTCAACAACAATAAGATTTGCCATCTCCTTCTTCTGGAGCCTTTTTCCAATCTAGCCTGGCATTTGCTAGTGGTCTTCTATTCATGGTGAGACCAGGTCCTATCCGGCTTTGCTTTCTGAGGTATTTAACTCAAGGTGGCAAATGTACCTAATAATGTTTGCCACCTCCTGTTTTCCCACAACAGCAACCCTTCTTTCACACCTAAGGCAATACTAAAAGTCACAATCTCCTAGTTTCTAATCTGGTGCCTAAGACACTGGCCCAAACTATCTCTCACAACTGGCTTAACCCACACAAATGTGCAAGTCTTAAAGCAGGAGTCTCCAAACTTGGCCACTTTAAGACTTGTGGACTTCAACTCCCAGAATTCCTCAGCCAGCAAAGCTGGCTGAGG